GCTCGTCAACGGATCCTAATTCCTGTGCATTATTTTCAGTTTGAACCTTTCACTACCATTCTTTTAACTATACAAAACTGGATTTAATTTTTCCGCATTAAGTATATCATCTGGAAGCCAGCCATTTCTGATTTCCAACAACCTTTATGGTCCACAATTAGCATTCTGAAGAATCAGTTCAATCTTACTGAAGCCTTTGAAAACCTTAACCATAACTCAATCTTGTTAACATTTTTTTTTTCTTCCGAAGCCCAAAGGGCCTACATCAAGTTTTTACAACCCTAAACCCCGAAGGAACCCCAAAAGCCGGTATCTCTTGAGGTCCCACAGGAGACTTATAACTACCAACCCAAACCCTCCCAACCCCGATGTGGGATACATCACAGGGGATGACACCCCAAACCTCCACAACGGGGGAGCCTGCTGCTAAGCCCGCGAGAACCCAACCCCCCCCAGAGGCGATGTTTCTTTCTTCCGAAGCCCAAAGGGCCTACGTCAAGTTTTTACAACCCTAAACCCCGACTCCAACAGCCGGTATCTCTTGAGGTCCAACAGGTTGTTAACATATTAGATGGTATATTTTTTTGGAGAAAAAACCTATAAGGTTACGTGAGAGATATTTTATCAAATATAAAACAAAATAAAGTACAATCCTAGTGAGTGAACTTTTTTGAATGATTTATTAGCCCTTTCTCGTTAAAAAAAAAAAAAAAAAAGGAATGTAACACAAGGACTTCTGATGCTGTCAACCATCCTAGTACTACCCTTGCCCGCTGTTATTAATACTTCTAAAGCTGTACTACATACGTTAGAGGGGTCAATTCTGAAGAATTAGAAGTCTGTGAGAGGCGTTAGAGAGTCGATTTTGCACCTTGGAATGCTGAACTTGATGTTGAAGTTTTAGCCTCTGACCCTACTTTTCTTATTCCACCAGTACGGCCTTTATACTTGAGATACTGAGATTATGAACTGTATATTATTAGATCAAGTGTTCTGCATTTAAATATAATTAGTTTAAGTGTGAAAGAAACAATTGAATGTAAATTAAGGGGTGCTAATCAATGCCAAACTTCATGGATCCAATTGGTGCCACTGACCATAGAAGTCTAGAATAAGGCTTCTTCACTGTCACTCTCAACCAGTAAGCTAAAACATATTTGGCCAAGAAAAAAAATGCTAATTGTTTAATTTTTTTTAACTCCAATGTCATGATTAAAGTTCATAATTAACGGATAAACCATTCTAACAGAGCATTTGAACTTCCATTCCAAACTAATTGGTAGTGATTAAGAGAATCAAGAACTTTATTAATTATTAATCCATGAAGTCTCTTGACCAACTACTGGACTCATTTGGGATCCTCTGGTTTCTCTCCATATAATTATATTTAAATTACTATAAGTACATAAAATTATCTATTATGTTATTCCTTTTATTTTGATGACTGGATCGACATACTAAAAAACGATATCTATTCGAGAATACTTCATTCAAATTTGCATGAAATATTTATGTAATAAAATTTGCAACAATTAATCAAATGCCAAAACTTAGTCAATGTAATACCGAATTTTGTGGACAACTAATGCAAGTGACGAAGTATATTCTCATTGATTTTGATGGTGGTGTTTGAGTGGGATCCAGGAAAGTAATTAGGAAATGGTTTTATTTCTTTTTATTAGAAGAATGGGGGTTTTCTGTTAGTATTAACTGCAGAAATTTTTTCATAAATAAAAAATGAGGGATAGTTTGGGACAGGGATAGTGTCGTAAGCACCTTTTTGGGGGTAGAGGGAAGTCTGATTTTTTTTTTTTTTTTTTGGAGATAGAGGGAAGTTTGATTTTTTTTTTTTTGGAGATAGAGGGAAGTTTGATTTTATTTCATTCCTTTTTTTAAACTAGCACTTTATCAGCATTTTTTTTCCATTGTAAGAAATTTGGTATTAAAAAAAAAGACAGAGAAACTTTATTCTACTATAATATATAAGAGCTTTTTTTTTTTTTTTTTTTGTCGACACAGGGTTGTCCGGGTCAATCCTTACGGGGCCCGACTAATCCCCTGCGGCCCGGGGATTATAATATATAAGAGCTTGCTTCTGAAACTTTCTCGTTTTATCCGAGATGTATAACTCAGCTATTAGTCAATCTTAATTATGTCCAATAATTATATACATTAAGAGAGTTGCAGCTCCAACCAGTCCCCAAAGTAAAACACAATCTGGTACAACTATTTCTCAAATTCCAATAGAATAAAATGTAATTAACAGTAATTAACTGTTAAATGGTTAATCTCAAATATCAATCCAATTAGGTTAGGAAAAATAAACACTTAAACAATGACGAAGCAACCACGAAGTAATTGACTGAATGTAAAGAGACGGTGTGATCCAAAAACACCAAATACAAACTAGAATTATATGGCACTTTAAAAAAATTGTAGGACTGGGAGGATCTGGAATATCAACAGTTCCTTCAAGCATCATCAGAACTTTCTTCATGGATGGACGAAGTGCTGGCTCATCCTGGATGCAACAGAGAGATATCTTTATCAGTCTTTCCAATTTTCTCATATCAACAATCTCATGATTACCAACCGATATGTGCAGCTTTCCAGCATCAAAACAATGATAAGCTCATTCTCTAAGAACAGCTTCACTCCCTGAATAGCTCTCGTCTGGTCTTTTTTGGCAGCATATCATCTCCAACAGCACAACTCCAAAGCTGTAAACATCTGCTTTAATCGTCACAGGCAAGTTCCGATACCATTCTGGAGTAACGAAGCCTTTTGTTCCTCTAAAGGCTGTGTAAGTTCTGGTTTGATCATTGCTTGAATAGCTTTGCTAGCCCAAAATCAGCAATCTTGGCACATATGTTTTCATCCATGAGTATATGCGCAGGTTTGATGTCACAATGGATCATCTGTGTCTCACATTCTTCATGTAATTAAAGAATACCTCTTGATGATTCGGCTTGATTTCGTCTAGCTCAAGTGGCAAATCGAGTCAAGCTCTAACTTTAAAAAGCTATACTCAAGATTTTTGTTTTGTCAAGCCCAATCAAGTTTATTTATTAGTTAATTTTAGTTTTTAGTTTTTAGTTTTAGTTTTATTTAATTTTTTAAAATTTTTAGTTTTTTTATTTAATTTTGAACCTCTAATTTTTTTAGTCGAGTTAATTTCAGCTCGATTCAATTACATTCCTATGCAAAATGATATGTAATGTTATTGTAAAGATGTATTATAGTGTATTGCATAGTTTCTTCAATACCAAATTGACAATTTTGATATATCTTTGGATGATATTTTAAAATTTCTGATAGGATGTAATTTGTTATTAAATTTATGATTAATTTTCCCTTTATGCTTGCCAAATATTGTTTTAATTGTAGGATTCTACTTATATTTAGTATTTTGACCTAATTATAGGAAGTGGAGTAAAAAAATGCTAAAAATGGTGATTTTCTTGAAGTCATGCGATTTTCTTGAAGGCAATATCGGTGGTTGCCTTATTTTTTCTTATTTTTTTTATTCGGTTAGGAAACTGGCTAGTATATAGACTAGTCACATAGGTTTTCATTAGGGAGGCTGATTGGCCACAAGGCAGAAGCAAGTCATCTTCTTCGTCCCTTACTTTTTCATTCTAACAAATATCATATCGTTTCGGGGAAAAGATTGATGTCAATGAATTCAACTTATTCGTGTAGAAATCTTTCTATGAGACGTGGCTAAATTTCTAATCTAGTCAAATATCAACTCAATGGCACAGTCCTGAATACCTGTGAGATCGAACTAATCTCAACTTGTTCCTTCAATTTATTGATATTTGTGCATTCTCTATTTCAATTTCTCGAGATTATTTTGTTAACTGAATGTCAAGGGCCCGATATTCAAAGTGATCTAATAATCTATTACCAAATTAATCAACTAAATTCGTAATTGTTTAGTCGATTAATATTAGTGGTAACTAGCATTTACACACGTTAAAGGAACGTGCGATCTAATTTAAATAACCCTCTTAGCGTGTTATTTATTCAGGTTCGGCTTTTTAAATTCTTAATACAATTGAGAAATTAAATCCTACGATCGTACCTAAGGTTATTTCATGATTAGGGGTGATCAATGGTCGTACATTGATTACTAATAAACTAAGGAAAAATTGGTCTTCAAAGTTTATTGACGACTATAACTAACCTGTTAATTAATTAAGCAAACCATCTTTGCATCAATGATCGGATGAATGAACTATGTCTGAGAGGTTGTATCTTTGGCTAAAGTTTGTCTACCATTGATTTAATTCCTAATTACTTTCGTGAATTGTTTTATTAACTGGTTATGTATTTATTTTTGTTTGAGTTATTTAATTATCCCCAATTTTATAAAAATCCCCCTTACTCTGCACTCTAAAAGAAATAAATTATCCCCAATTCCTGTGGATTCGACCATACTCACTGTATATACAAAATTTATACTTTTATTAAGTAGATATTTATTATTATACAAGGTCGATACTTGTCAATTTCAGAATATATGATTTAAGAAAAGAAGAAGTTAGAAGATTAACCTGGACAATGCAAAATTTTAGACAGTTTCCGAATATTTTGTCTTTCTGAAATCCAGAAATTAAACCCCCGCCAAGTTCAGTGGGCCGAATCAATTTGGGCTTCATGGACTTAGTTGTCTATAACATAACATTGCTCTGGATCTTTCACAGTGGTATCCACTTGAATCCTCAGTGATTAATTCAGAAAGTTTTTGACAGAATAGTTTGTAATAAACTGTAAAATGATAGCAAAAGCAAAACAAATTTCAACCGGCCATGACAAGAACCAGGCTGGTAATAAGCACCATCCACTTCTAATGACATCAATAATCTCAACCACCGGTAGTGAAAGCTAAAGAAACACATAAAAATGATAATCCAACAACGAAGTTTATTTTCCACAAAATACATGACAGAAATAGATCGGATGTGAAACTAGAAAAAGCCAAATACAAACTACAATTATATGGCAATTAAAAAAGATGTAAGGCTGGGAGGATCTGGAATATCAACAGTTCCTTCGAGCATCAGAAGAACTTTCTTCATGGATGGACGAAGAGCTGGCTCATCCTGGACGCACCAGAGAGCTATCTTGACCATTCTTTCCAGTTCTCTCACGTCATCAACCTCCTGATCACCAACCAATTTATATAGCTCTCCAGCCTCAAAACACTGATAAGCCCATTCTTCAAGAATTGCTACACTCTCGGGACTGGTACAGTCTACGCTTTTGCGGCAGCATATGATTTCTAGCAGCACAATTCCGAAGCTGTAAACATCTGCTTTAACTGTCACAGGCAATTTCCTGAACCATTCTGGTGCAACATAGCCTCTTGTTCCTCTTACTCCTGTATAAGTTCTGGTTTGATCATTTTTCAACAGCTTTGCCAATCCAAAATCAGAAATCTTGGCACATCTGCTTTCATCCATGAGTATATTCTGAGGTTTGATGTCACAGTGGATGATTTGTGTCTCACATTCTTCATGTAAGTAAAGAATACCTCTAGCAATGTCACAGGCAATTTTCATTCTTTCGTCCCAAGTTGGATGGTTCTCTGGTTTGTGCAGGAATTTTTCCAAAGATCCGTTGCTCATGTACTCATAAACTAGAAGCCTCTTAGCTCCATCCAGGCAGTATCCAAGTAGCTGGACGAGATTACGATGATGTGTTTTCCCAATCACCGAGATTTCATTCTGAAACTCTTTTTCTCCTTCTGTTAATACTTTCTCAAGTTTCTTCACGGCCACAACCTTGTTGGAATTTGGCAAAATCCCTTTGTACACGGTCCCAAATGCTCCTCTGCTAACAAGCTTAATATTTTGAAGTCGAGTTCGAGCTCGATTTCGACTCGAGCTTGACTCGAGCGGTTTGCGAACAGCTCGATTCGTTTGCAGCCCAAGCTCAGGTTTACTGGGGCGGAAAAGGTTGTAGTAGCGTTTCTTACTTCTCCTCGTGTAGCTAATATTTCAGTTGACAACTTTTAACTTTCATTTGTGGAAAGACTTCGATAGATAACCTACCACACAAAAAAACTTCTCCTGACTACTAGTAGTATAATGGACTTCGAAGCCATAGTAGTATTAAACCTTAAACATTAAGAGATCAATTCCACCGGATATCCAAGATGATTAAGTAAGTAAATGGTACGACGTTGACTAATCTTTTTCACATGAAACTGCTAATTGTGACTTGTAACCATGGTTCAAAGTCGCGGTCGCGGCTGCGGCCGGGACTGTTCCACATTAGTTTTGGCATATCGGTCTCTGTCTCGGAGACACGCAAAATTTTGAAATATTTAATATTCTAAAAAATATAAAAAATATGATAAATAAAAATAATTAAAAAATTAGTAAAAATAATAAAAATTCGAGTTGACTCGAGATGACTCGATGTGATTCAACTGTTTCAACTATTCACGGTGATGTCTCGACGAGTCAAATATTTTAAAATCATATCATCCCGATATCGTATCGAGAGAGTCCGAGACGGTGACCACTCGGTCTCGGCGACTTCACCGAGTCTTTGAACCGTGCTTGTAACTAGCGCCCCACCCCCTTTCTTTTCAACTTAATGTCCCGCTTCTGATCAACTAGTAATTTCGTTGTTTACGCCATCAACGGAAATATGCCTTTCCGCCTCTGTTGTCATGATTCTATTTCCAACCATTTGCCATTTTTCCTTTTATTTCTATTTGTTGTCGGCGTACTATTAATGCCATGAATTTGAAGCTCGTCTGAAAGTCATACGTATGTACTGTGTATGGTGGGAGTGGGAATCTGTCAAAAAGACCATCTACCTCTCTCACACTCACGACAGTGGTAGTCTTGAATCTTGGTAGAACTGAGGAACGTATAATTGATATTTTTTACACTTGTCCGCTTCTGATAGATGAGTAACATCTATGATGAAAAGAAAGGTTTCATCAATTGAATGTTAGCGGTTTTAAACAGGTACTAGCGTGAAATATCGTGCACTTCACCCTCACGTCTCGTTTCCAGTAAAAACTGTCAAATTGATGAAATGAATGAGAAAAAAAAAAAGTCCAAGTCTTTCATATATTTCTTTGACTTTTTTTTTTGGACTTTCTTCCAATATTTTGGAGATTGGAATGGGTTCAATGGATTTAGATAGAAACTTGGTTAATGAGAGGGAGGAAGAATAAAATGAGATTGGAAGTCTCGTTTGCTGGTGAAAGAAGAAATTGATGATACTCATTGTCATTTTCGGGCGCAATATTTTGGAAGAAAATGAAGAAGAAAGAAAAAGAAAAAACGTCTAGTTTTTTTTTTCTTTTTTAGGCATTTTTGAATTTCAGTGAATGTTTTTGGTGACCCGGCAAAAATTAAGTGGTCAAACGTTTATTGACCAACTGGATGGGTATCTTTGTTATGGGATTGTATATTTGAGGGACAATTTTGTTATTTAGCCAAACTTCGGGGTTGATTGGTAGTTTGGTCGAACGTAAAACAATCCCCAATTCGATTGTCCTCAAATTTGGGTTTAAAAATAAATAAATGTCAATTGGAACTATAGAATAGTTGTTTGTGTTGAATTTTTTTCCCAAATCTTTCGTCTCCTTATTTTGAGAATCATTTGGGTATGGATTGTATAATTTTAGGTAGCCATTTGAGTGAGATGAAGAGGAGCAGCCACAGTTCTTATTCTGTAAGGCTACTTTCAGTTCATTTTTTTGGTCGGTTTTGAGGCCAAATTTGCATCCTGCGCCGGCTGGAGGGTGTAATTTCATCAATTTTTGGCACTGGTTGGCGACGGTACTGCGGCTCGCACAATACACCATCATCACCCTTGGTCTTTTCTGCCATGGTTGAAAATTATTTTCTTCATTAGAAAAAAAAAAAAAAGGCAAAGCAAGAAAAAATATAAGGTCCAGAAAAAAAAAAGACTCTGGGGCATTACATACTTTTCTGCTGAGATCACCAAAATAAACATTCAAACGCTAGTTGACTACACATGGGCTAAATGAGTCTTTTGGATGTTTGTTTAAAATTTTATTGTAATTTATTGTAAATGAATCTTTTGGATATTTGACAAATGAGTTAGCGGGGAAGAAAGGTAGCGGGGAAGAGAAAAGGAGGAGAGGGAGAAGATAAGAAAAAAAAAAAAAAAAAAAACCTCTGTTGGTGTCGGAAGAGGTGGCCAACACAGAACTGGCGCCAGAAAAGGTGTTAACCGATGGTAGCCAGCGGCAGAAGTGGTGGTGTGTTGAGATGGGGCAGGAAGAAGAAGATAGGAAGAAGGAAATTTTTTTTATGTGTTTTTGGATATTTTGAAGTGTGTATTTTAAAATTTTTGAGGAGATTTTTTATATTACTGTAGTTAAAGTTGTTAAAAAAACTTGTTGAAAAAAAACTAGGCAAAAAAAAAAATCACTTCTAAATTGATGTTTGAACACTTGGTTCCATTTTCAGTGGTTTATTAGCCTAAAATTAGGGACTAGGGATGCGTAAATCCGAAATTTTTTGATTTCTTGATCAAATTCTAATTGAATTCAGAAATGTGAAATCAGAAAAAATGGAAAGGAAATTGCAATTTTTGTCTTCGAAAGTGTCAAATTTGATGTGAATTCGGCAACAAGGTTTTAAAAATGGAAATTCTGATTTCGAATTCACAATTCAAAATCAATTTTCAGATACTAATTCGATTTCAATTTCATATATATTTTATATAATCAATTATATTATATATAATAATACTTCTTAATAATTATATTGTATATATATCTAATATCCATTTATAATAATTAATAACATTTAATCCATTACATTTACATATATTTTATTTAAACTTATAGTTACATATATATATATAACTCACAAAATTAGAATTAGAAAATATAATTGCAAAGTGAATTTGGTAAAATATTAAATTTCAAAATTAATTTGAATCAAATTCGAAATCGAAATTGGTGAATTCGAAAGTGAAATAGGTTGAAATTTTCAATGTCCAATTTATCAAAAAAACTCCGAATTCAAAGTTCCAAATTACTGTTTTTGAATTCGATGCAAACTCCTGTTAGGAACTAAAACAAGACGGATTTGCATCGTATCGACAAGTTCAACTATTCCTTCTCCCGCTATCCACACTCCTCGTCCTTGTCCCTACCTTGCCTTCTTGCTACCCCTATGAGTGCCTCCACCTAGCCTCGCTACTATTTTTATTTTTTTATTTAAATTTATTTTTATATATGTATAACTTCATTTCATATTATATAAATATTATTATATTCTATTAGATATTTAATAGTACATATATATTTATGATCCTAAGAAAATTAGATATTTAATAGCACATGTATAATCCTAAGAATATACAAGTGCGAATGAGGAAATAAACAGTGAATTAGGTCCCTCATTGGCACCATGATTGTGTGGGCAGCATCTTAATTTCACATCAATGATCAATTCCATGCACCGGTGCATTGTGTGGCTGGAATTTATTTCTCAATTGTGTTTTGACTATAGTGTCATTCAATGCCAATTGTGCCATTCATTGACTGATTCGATAGGAAAAAGAAGTGTGATTTTTAGTCTTATCTTATCAACATGGTTCTTGAATTCCTCGTTGCAATTAGGGGTGCAAACGAATCGAGCCGCTCGCAAGTAGCTCGATTCAAGTTTGACTCGAGCTCGAGCTAGTCGAGTCAAAATCGAGTTCAAAATATTAAACTCGTTAGCTCACGAGCCGGCTCGCGAGCTCGAGTATATATATATTTTTTTATTTTTACTTTTACTTTAATAGTAAAAGTACATAAATATCATTAATATTTTATTATTTATTAAGAAAAAATATTATTTTATTTATTTTTTAAAAAAATAAAATAATTATTTTTATTTTTTCGAGCTCGAGTTTTAAAATTGTCAGCTCGTCGAGCTCGAGTTCGATGAAATTAAGTCAAGACTCGACTCGATAAGGACAAAACTCGACTCGACTAGGATCGTTTGCAACCCTAGTTGCAATGTCTCGATGGTGCGGTGCCACTGCTGGTTAGTATTAATTAATAGTGCTATTTATTTCTTTTTATCTATTTCTTTTTAAATTTATGTGCTTAGTGTTCACTTCTAACATTAAGTACACTTAATATTAATTAGTTCATTATTTGCTCTTAAATTTAGTATTAAAATTATCCTTCACTTTTACCGTCATTTAGTATCTGTTAGTTAATTTGTTCATAAATTTAATATCATGGCAATCACTTAGTGTTCATTCTAACCATCATCTAAAGTTAATAATCTTGATTCTATGATTACTTGCACTTGATTATTATTTCATATACGAAGTAACTATTCCTTATGAATGAATATAAATATATGTAAATATTCCTTTTATATGAATGTGAATATTCCATATCTACGAATCTAAATCTGAGCATCATTACTGCTCGGGCGTGACGCAAATCCACCTGCTACAAACAGGCTACTAGCCTACTTAAATGTCTCTACTAGGAATCATAAAGCTCCATCAGTGCAAGTATTAGCGTGAAAGCATATGTAGAAAGACTCTTATGTATGTAAATATAATAATTTACTATTAACCTAGATAATCTCTATTTTTTTTAAGCTTTAATGTATTCAACTTAGAGCTGTTAAGTCAATCGAGTAGCTCGAAAACTCGTTAGAGTTCGGCTCATTAATTTTGGTTAACAAATCGAGCTCGAGCTCGAAATATGCTCGTTTAGTTAACGAGCCGAGTAAATACTCGAGTAGTTCGTTAGAACTTGTTAATGAAGGGCATATTTGTCATTTTAGAAATCAAAATTATAAAAATTAAAAATTATAGATTTTTATTAAGGTTAATTTGTACGAGCTCGAGCTCGATCTCGAGGCATATGTACATTTAACGAGCCGAGTTCGAACACATTTTAAAGCTCGTTTTCCTAACGAGCTCAAGTCGAGTTCGGCTCAAATTAAACTCGAGTCGAGCTCGGCAACCAAATACTCGACTCGACTCGGCTCGATTAACAGCTCTAATTCAACTGTAACAATACTATGTTTTCAATTTATCATTACTCTTTTGAGCACATATCTAGTACTAAATTAAAGGCGAGGGACAAGGCGAAGGGAGAAAAATTCCCCTACCCCGTTGAATCCCCGCCGATTGCCATTTGAACCTGAAATGAGTGGATAAGAAATTTTATTACCCACCAGTCAAAATTCTTTCGTTTAGCATAATTTCTAAACTTATTCATGGACATCCAAAAATTCAGCAGGATTCATGTATGTTAACAAATATTCTTTTCTGTCCAAAAATAAATAAATTTGTTAGGTAACAATCTCAATGTTTAACTTATCTCTAAAATAAATACCTAGACTGGATTTACGTTAGTAATCTTGAGAATTACAATATAGGAATTTAAGCAAGGGAACATGGCATGGCCATTAAATATTGTCACCATAGGTATTATAGGAAAGGGAATTCACGTTCGCTCTTTTAATATAATACATGGAAACCCATTTACTTCTACCTGAAAATATTCCATGTGTACTATGTATATTGCATTAAAATTTCAAGACAAGTTAAGCTACAGCAAATTGCACTAACAAATCGAGGAAAAATACAACGATTTTTGTTTTTTTTTTCTTTTGCAGAGTTAAGAATTAATTGCAACAATTCCCACCAGCATGGGTTTTTCCTCATGCGAAAGAAAAAGAAACCAAATCCTTTATGGATATATTGACTCTCTTTTTTTTTTTTTTCAAGGGGAAGCAAGGCTATACATTTTCCTCGCACCAGCATTCTTTTCCTACCATCTTCTTTTACCAGCCTCCCAAAGCCTCTTCTTGTATTGATCGTTCTAGCAGTAGATAAGATACTCACAATGAAGGGTTTGCCATTCATAAATTCCATTCACAAATATACCATCGTTACACAACTTATATTACGACCCAAAATTTTCAAAACCTCAATTCGCCATTACTATCCATGTTGCCGCCAAGTACAAGTCGGTGGATGAGTCGAATCCCAAAACACTTGATGTCCTATCATGCAAGACAAGAGTCTTGCTCCCATGTCATGAAGTAATAGGCTACAAGGAGCAAATCATCAAAACAAGTATCCTTGATGAGATCACCAAGACAATTGAATTATCAGACATCAGGTTGGAGTTATTCTTGACTTGGTACGGTGTAAAATCAAGGGCAGATGCAAATTTCCTCAGGGACTATAAACGTGCAATTAGCAGGCCGCGGACAATGGAAGAAGAATTGGAAGCAGAACAAGAACGACTTCGAGAAATTCAAGGAACAGAGGTGGCAGACAAGGATCATGCTACTTGTGCTATTTGCCTGGAAGAGATGGCTGTTGGGTACTCATGGTTCGAGACGTCTCGGCCGAGTCGAGACCGCGACGAAACGTTTTCGAGATACACGTGACAGACCGAGACATCACCATGAAGGGTTAAAATGGTCGAGTCACACCGAGTCATCTCGAGTCAACTTGAATTTTTATTATTTTTACTAATTTTTAATTATTTTTATTTATCATATTTTTTACAATTTTTAGAATATTAAATATTTCAAAAATTCGCATCTCGCCGAGACCGCGACTGATGCCGAGATCGATTTGAAACGGTCCAAGCCGCGACCGCAATTTTGAACCATGTTGGGTACACGATGAAGTTACGTTGTTCTCATACATTCCATCAAGACTGCATCTGGAAGCGGGAGTTTAAGAGTAGAAGGTGCCCTTTGTGTCGGGTCAGCCTGTTAAGAGCTGATCCTATTTAGTGGGATACGGTTCAGAGTTCTGTAGTAGTACCACTTTCACTTTCATTGTTTTGGTTTCGCATTGTCTTGTGAATCTCCTCAATCAGTATCATAAGCTATTATAGTAATTTTGTCAGAAAAAAAAAGAGTAAAGATTCTTTTGCCATATATATTGAGATAAGGAAACTTTGCATTAAGGTTGCTTCTTGTGAGCCAATAAGGTCAAAGAAATTCGGCTAACGACAATTTATAATAGACTTAATCCTGGACTAGTTATTTTATCAGATTATTAATCAAAATTTGGAAAACTAAACTTAGTTAGTACTTTAATCATTTTTCCAAAACAATAGACACGAGTCAAGATTCAAGGATTGATTTTACTTGATCACAAAGTCCTGTGTTTAACCAATATGTCATAGGCAGGCCTTTTACCCTGCAAAATTACATCTTATGTTATAATAAACAAAACACAGGGGTAAAGTCTAATTTTTTCTTTTTTTTTTTGGGAAAGGGGGTATGTCTAATAATTACAAGGATATAAGGCCGGGACATAGACTCTTGCTAAGGCTGCAATTACAGATATCAGAACTGCTAGAACAGCAAGGGAAATCCCAGTTACCGGGACGATAGGCGCGAACTTCTTCCTTTCTGCATTTTAGAGGATTACTTGACCTTGCCAAGAGCATTATTTGAGTCAATTGCTCCCTAAGGTTCACAGCACATCAGCACTCTATAATTTCTCAGGTCATGATGATTCATCACAAGAAGTTCCTTAAATTTGCAATTATAGAACCTTAAACTCTATTTTAAGATGATACTTGAGAAGCAACTTCATCAGATGACAAATCCAAAAAAAATTCCTTAAAAATTTGCAATTGCAGAACCTTAAACTCGGTTTTAAAAGTTAAAAAGTATCACATAGTAGGATTAGTTTGCAAATTCAAGAACAAAATTCAAGAATTTCTGTGCAACTCAAATATAGATCAATAACAGTAGTTAAACAAACAATGTTCATAGCTTTCCTAACTTATGTCACAAATCCAAACAAAATAAAGAATAATACAAAAAGAATCCAGAAATCGGAGGAGAGCCTTCCAGATTCAGAGAAACAGAACTGCTCTTAAATTCTCAATTAGCTTTTCTGTTGAATTCCTTCACGTGTGCAAAGAGGACAAACATTCTTCTTCATTAACCACCTTTTGATGCAGTCGGCATGGTACTCATGCCTGCATTCTAGAGTTCCAATTGTCTCTTCATCCTCATACTCGCACTGGCAAACTACACAAATTTCAGGTTCTTGATCAGCAAGTGTTTGATAATTTCTGGTTTTCAAATGCTCTGAGATGGTTGCTTCTGGCAAACGATAGCTTTTACTAATCCTGTCTTCTGGGACCAATTGTTGCAGGAACTCAACAATTGGGTCATCAGCAGGAATAAAAGTCCTGAAGCTGGCAAGATTTCTTTCCTCATCGACAAACTCCATATCCAATGCACGTAGGGGAGTATGATCTTCTAGTGTAAAGGTCGAGCTAAATCGCAAGTGCATTTCGGATTCTTGATTCTGGTTCTCTAGTGGATAGTTCTCCTCTGCATCCAAATCGAGTAGGGCAGTCTCACTGTCTGGTGTAAAGGTCAACCGGGAGAGGATATTTCGTCCCTGATCAAATTCTTGAAGCTGGTTCCCAAGTGTGTAGTTCTCCTCCGCATCCAAATCAAGTAAGACAGTCTCATCTTCTGGTGCAATGCTAAAACGGGAGAGGAGGTCCTGTCCCTGATCAGATTCTTGAAGATGGCTCTGGGGCCATTGGAGGCTCTGCTCTTGATTAACATAGTAATTGTTATTCTGATTAACATGGCGCTCACAGCCAGCGCCTTTAACTCATCCAACAACACAATGTTTAGAAGGCCCATATTAGATTGGGCCTGGGGCTGAGATTATGCACTCAACTCAAAATATTCCAAAGAAAAAGAAATATTTGGCAAATTCAGCATATTTGGTTAAGTGAAATTGGCTCTCTCTTTCCTTAATATTTTCCTTTTTCAATTTTTTTGTATTAATTAACCCGTTAGGTAGACCCTTTTAATAATTAACTCAAGTTTATCGATATCCTGCAATAAGGTTTGACTTGGGTGAATATGTTATTCTGACTATATTATACAGATGAATGTTTCTTGCCCTTTTTTTGTATAATTTTCATTTTGGTTTGAGCAGTAGAATTACGGGTGCAAGTGAGTAGCTCGATGCTTGACTTGTGAAAATTTCTACTCGAGCTTGATGACTTGGCTTAATTTGATCTTGTTCGAGTAGTAAATTGAACTGATTTTTAGCTTTAAAATGCTATGTTTGCCTGTCTAATCAAGCTTAATCAAATATTATTTATTATTTAATTTTAGTTTTTATTTTCAGTATTATTTAATTTTTTTATTTGTCAGTTTTTATAATTAATTTTGATTCGACTCGATTACATCCCTATGCAAAATGACATATAATGTCACTGTATGCATATATTACAATGTATTATACAGAGTCTTCAATACCAAATTGACAATTTCATACATCTCTAGATGATTTTTTTTTTCAATTTCAGAATATATGATTAAAAAAAAACTTTAGGAGATTGACCTGGACAGCATTATTGCTGTGTGTGAAAAGAAAAAAAACATAATAGCTGTAGCTCAATGTGGATCTTTCACAGTGGTATCTTCAGTGACTATGACATGAATCAAGCAAGTAATATAGTTCAAATACTATACACTAACACATCAGTAGTATAAGCTAAGAAAACGCATAAAAATGTTTATCCAACAATGAAGTTCATATTTCATAAAATAGATGAGATGTGAAACTAGAAAAATACCAAAACACAAATTACAATGATATGGCACTTGAAAAAGACGGAAGGCTGGGAGGAATTGGAATGTCAACAATTCCTTCGAGCATCAGAAGAACTTTCTTCATGGATGGACGAAGTGCCGGCTCTTCTTGGATGCACCAAAGAGCTATCTTGATCATTCTTTCCGGTTCTCTCACGTCATCAACCTCCTGATCGCCAACCAATTTGTATAGCTCTCCAGCCTCAAAACACTGATAAGCCCATTCTTCAAGAATTGCTTCATTCTCAGGACTGGTACATTCTACGCTTTTTCGGCAGCATATGATTTCTAATAGCATAATTCCGAAGCTGTAAACATCTGCTTTAACTGTCACACGCAAGTTCCTGAACCATTCTGGTGCAACATAGCCTCTTGTTCCTCTTACTCCTGTATAAGTTCTGGTTTGATCATGTTTTAATATCTTTGCCAATCCAAAATCAGAAATCTTGGCACACCCATTTTCATTCATGAGTACGTTCTGAGGTTTGATGTCACAATGGATGATTTGTGTCTCACATTCTTCATGTAAGTAAAGAATACCTCTAGCAATGTCACAGGTGATTTTCATTCTTTCGCCCCAACTTGGATGGTTCTCTGGTTTGTGCAGGATTTTTTCCAAAGATCCATTGTGCATGTACTCATAAACTAGAAGCCTCTTAGCTCCATCCAGGCAGTATCCAAGTAGCTGGACGAGATTACGATGATGTGTTTTCCCAATCACTGAGATTTCATTCTGAAACTCCCTTTCCCCTTCTGCTAATACTTTCTCAAGTTTCTTCACAGCCACAATCTTTTTGGAATTTGGCAAAATCCCTTTGTACACAGTCCCAAATGCTCCTTTGCCCAACTCTTCTCTGAATTCATTTGTTGCCTGCTCTAGCTCAGCAAAGGTAAAGGCCCTTGAAGCCACATTCTCAACAAATTTGACATTTCCCTTTCCCAGTATTTGTTTATAGCCCCATGCCCGATTTTTCTGAACATAAAGCCCAGCAAATACAGAGATCAAGATCCCAAAAACAGCAAGTGCAATCCCAATTATCAGGATATAGACACGGACTTCTTCCTTTCTGTGTTTTACAGGATTACTTTGCATTACACCTTCGTTGTTAGCTGCAGGATTGCCTACCTTGACAAGAGCAACATTCAAGTCATCTGCTCTTCTTCCATATGTCAATGGGAGTTTCTGTTTCTTGCATAGTCCATCTTTGAAGAATGCTGCTTCGCAGTTGCAATCTTCAAGACAAGCTTTTGCACAATCATCTTTCGTGCTTGTTTCCATTCTAGAAAATGTGTTAACTTCCCATGCAGTGTGTTCCAAGGACTCAATGGTGTAATTGGCATTTGAATTTGTGAAATTGCAACTATCTGGAACAAAACTACTCTCACAGCCCGACCTCCAATTGCCTTGATTGACAAACTGAAATCCAGGAAGACATTTGCATTCGACCAAGTCATCGATTTTAGTACAGAAGGCATTGATCCCACAAAGGCCTATGGGAGCACAATCATCAGTTGAAGATTCCCATATGATTGACCAATTGCCCCCCTGATCTATCGAATGTGAATACAATCGGAAAATACCATCCACATCAATCTTCATCAAATAGATCATCTTGTTCTTAGGATGTCCTCCACCAGAAAGATTCTTCACTATATTAACACTTGAATTGATCAAGTACAGATGCCCATCATCCTGGAGATTTAGTGTTATATTTGGACCGTCTCCATTAGTTCCAGACGACCAGTAAGAATTTTCCTCTACATCTGTTGTGCCCAAAGAATTTTCCGCTACATCTGTTGTGCCCACAGGGTACTGTACAAGGTGTCCATCCGTTTGCATCTTCAGACGAAAAATCCCCTTCGAATCATCAGTTTCTGAAGCACTGGATATGAGCTCCTGATCAGCTACCAATCGCTGACCAGGCAACAAACTATTGGTTGGATGCTCGAAACTCTGCCAAATGATTCTCTTAACAGAATCGTATAAAACAAAATTTCCAGAATCCAACATAGAAGCTGATGAAATAAGTTCAGAAGGATCAACAACAGTTATGTCTTGGCCTTCTGGCTGTTGCAAAATTAGCCTGCCATCCGTAGACAAAATCAACGAAACATTGCTCGAAAAAATGGGGTTATCCCTGTTGGCAGTCCAAACTGCAGTCTTTTCAGGAATTCCAGCAAGAAAAATGCCCACAGCATAGCCATTGCGTTGCTGATAGAATCCAAAAGCAAATATTCCAGATGGTGACAACCATGATGATGAGTTGCCTGTGGGTGTTAGAGAAGAACCTAAGCTAATGTTAAGAGGGCTTTGTTGAGCTGCTATTCCTGAATAGAATGCTGATGATAGGACGAAGAACAAAAAAGCAGCCATGTATGGAAATTGGAGATGGAATAGAAGAGAAGCCCGTTTTCTCTTGCTTTTCTGTGTATCCTACTTGCTTTCTTAGTATAAATATAAGACTTGCGTCGAGATTTGGCATGGTTGACTTCTCAAGTCTTTGCAACAACTCCGGTCTTCCGAGGAAAAAATTTGTATTGGCAGTTCTACAGCAGCAATAAATGTTTCTGTTGACAATTGACAATTTCAACTACCATTTGTACTGAAATTCTATAGAGAACTTACCATGCAGAGTAAAGACTGGGGGATCTTCCTTCAATAATGTCCACAGAAATCCTAGTTTTGATGGACTAATCGTCTTTCAGATTTTACTGGATCTTACGAAAATTCTTACAAATTGCTCGTCAACGGATCCTAATTCCAGTGCATTATTTTCAGTTTGAACCTTTCACTACCATTCTTTTAACTATACAAAACTGGATTTAATTTTTCCGCATTAAGTATATCATCTGGAAGCCACCCATTTCTGATTTCCAACAACCTTTATGGTCCACAATTAGCATTCTGAAGAATCAGTTCAATCTTACTGAAGCCTTTGAAAACCTTAACCATAACTCAATCTTGTTAACATTTTTTTTTTCTTCCGAAGCCCAAAGGGCCTACGTCAAGTTTTTACAACCCTAAACCCCGAAGGAACCCCAAAAGCCGGTATCTCTTGAGGTCCCACAGGAGACTTATAACTACCAACCCAAACCCTCCCAACCCCGATGTGGGATACATCACAGGGGATGACACCCCAAACCTCCACAACGGGGGAGCCTGCTGCTAAGCCCGCGAGAACCCAACCCCCCCAGAGGCGATGTTTCTTTCTTCCGAAGCCCAAAGGGCCTACGTCAAGTTTTTACAACCCTAAACCCCGACTCCAAAAGCCGGTATCTCTTGAGGTCCCACAGGTTGTTAACATATTAGATGGTATATTTTTTTGGAGAAAAAACCTATAAGGTTACGTGAGAGATATTTTATCAAATATAAAACAAAATAAAGTACAATCCTAGTGAGTGAATTTTTTGAATGATTTATTAGCCCTTTCTCGTTAAAAAAAAAAAAAAGGAATGTAACACAAGGACTTCTGATGCTGTCAACCATCCTAGTACTACCCTTGCCCGCTGTTATTAATACTTCTAAAGCTGTACTACATACGTTAGAGGGGTCAATTCTGAAGAATTAGAAGTCTGTGAGAGGCGTTAGAGAGTCGATTTTGCACCTTGGAATGCTGAACATGATGTTGAAGTTTTAGCCTGAGATTATGAACTGTATATTATTAGATCAAGTGTTCTGCATTTAAATATAATTAGTTTAAGTGTGAAAGAAACAATTGAATGTAAATTAAGGGGTGCTAATCAATGCCAAACTTCATGGATCCAATTGGTGCCACTGACCATAGAAGTCTAGAATAAGGCTTCTTCACTGTCACTCTCAACCAGTAAGCTAAAACATATTTGGCCAAGAAAAAAAATGCTAATTGTTTAATTTTTTTTAACTCCAATGTCATGATTAAAGTTCATAATTAACGGATAAACCATTCTAACAGAGCATTTGAACTTCCATTCCAAACTAATTGGTAGTGATTAAGAGAATCAAGAACTTTATTAATTATTAATCCATGAAGTCTCTTGACCAACTACTGGACTCATTT